AACTCGGCAATGGTTTTTGACACCACTACCTCCTGCGGCAGTTTGTTCCATGTATTAGTTACCCGGTGCGAGAAAAAGGTGGCTCTCAGGCGTTTGAGCGCCCGAGGCTTGTCTAACTTCATGCTGTGTCCCCTTCTGTTGGGCACACCGCTTGGCTGAAGTAGGTAAGAGATTCCCTGAGAGAAACCTTTCGAGATACGGAAGGTTTCGATTAGGTCCCCCCTCAGCATTCTCCGACTGAGTGACAACAGGTTCAGCCCCTGGAGGCGTTCGGCATATGTCGCTCCCCGAAGGTGCGGGAACATGCGCGTAAACCTCTTCTTCACCCTCTCCAGAACCCTTTGATCCTTCTTCAGAGTAGGGGACCAAGCTTGTACGCAGTACTCCAGATGCGGCCGAACGAAGGCCATGTAGAGCGGGACTAACACGACAGGATCCCTAGACGTCATTGTGCGCTTCAACCTGAACAACGCTCTATTGGCCGTACGTGCGCAGCAAGACACTGGGCAGAGGAGGATAGGACAGGACAGGTCACAGAACTGGCGGCGGAGCCAGGAGCAGTCCAGTTTCTTGCACCACTGAGCTTGGAGCACCATGGCGCTGCGACAATTGTGTTATTTCCTTCACGTGGACGTGAGTGAATGCGGAAAACGCACTTCTGATGGTTCCTTGAAGTGACAGTACGCGTCTGAGGTTTTGTCAGGATCAAATCAACAGCTCGCAACCAACCGCTCCGAGCTACCCAGAGTAAGAGATTTGTTGTGGAGAAGAAACATGATATGAAATTGGCGGTACTGGGTGTTGAGAAGTTTCAATAAAATGTTTTGAACAATGAATGAAAATGGAGCTGAGGGAGTTGGAGAAATCAAAGCAGAGTGTGAGATAAGGAGTTTATTGTAAAGAGGGGGGCGGAGACGGACGAGCTATTAGCGGCCTTAAGCCCGGTGTCAGGTACAATCGGGGAACGTCGATGCCCAGGATGCGTCAAGCTTGAACTCGGCCATAGCTTTTAATGCCCCTACCTCCAGAGATAGTTTCTTCACAGAACTTAAGGCTTCAACCAGTGAACGTCCAGGTTCTTGCAGTTGTGAGCGGGTACTACGACTGCCAGGTAGTTCCACAGTTGTGTGTTGGATGTTGTATATACAAGAGAAGGGATGAAGAGCAGGGGAATCAGCAGTCTCAATCATTTCACGGGGGTTGACGAGCTTGCGAACCGAAGTTTTAGAGTATCTAGGGTTCTGTTGGTAGGTTTATTGTTCGGTGCCGGATGAAGGTCCTCGGAATAGTTGTCTTTTACTCGGTATCCAATTGTGTCTGAAGCAAGAGACAGTTGGGAGTGCTACTGTTCAACAGGCACCGCTTCTAAGCGGATTGCTACGCCTGCCATGAGAGCTTCCCGGGGACTAAAAAATGTTGTACTAATTGTGCGTGAGGTGTGTAATGTAAAGGAGTGATGGTGAAATAGACAAACGGTTACAGAAAGGGGATGTAGGTAGTGGCTGAGACTTGGACAGAACAGGACAGGACAGTTCACATGACTTGCGGCTTGAGCCAGTATGGTAGTCCAGGTTCTTGCGTCTACGGGCCACGTATGTCTCGTAACTCTTCGACAGTGAGTCGATCGGTCCTTGGTGGTATAAGAGTACGGTCACGGAGCGGCGACGCCAATCCGGTTGGCTTTCGATGAAAGCAGCATTAGCTGATCAGTCACAGGCTAAGCAGGAGGTCCGAGTACCCCTCCAGCAAACAAAAGAGAGCCCGCAGAGAGCAGAAAAGTAAACTAGTACTGGGAGAAGGGTGTGGGGAGTTGGAGTTAGACAGGTGAGGTGATGGTAGTTGAAGTGAATGGGATGGTATGGTTAATAATGAAGTTAGGAGGTGCAGTGACAGTGTCAACCCTTTCCGGTCGTGTACCTTTTCCATCTTCCAGACCTTGTTGTTTTACCGGACCAAGATTATCTTGTTGGTCACGGTACGTAGACTTTCACTTTCTGCACGCTTACTTACGTGTACGCTTCTCTCTATGTTCTCCAGCTCATTCCAATACAACCGTCGTTGAGGTTTTGTGATACCAGTCTTTCTGTTTCGGTTCGTTACTTCGTCCTTGCTAGACGTACGAATTCGTGGACATCATTAGCATAGAGACCAAATTGGTGAGCCCGACGTTGTAGTGACCATTCACATTCCATTCTCAATGTAGCTTTCCTCCTGTGCATCTCATTGTTTTATCACCCCAAAGCCACCTCTTTGGTCAGCACGTGTTTGCTTTCACTTTCCGCACGCTTGCTCACGCCTCTGTATCTCTCTCTTCCTCTGCAGCTCTTTACAATATATGTAGGCCTCCGTTCCATGAATCGCCTCGTTCTCTTCTCGTACGAACGTAAGTTTGCAACCTATACGTATTAGCCCGGAGTACCGATAATCTAGCGCCTACGGATTGGTGAGCCTTCATTATATTTTATTAAAGTTCGAAAATTTTTCTTTTCGGAGGAATCTTAATTTCTCTAGGTCACGATTTTGCTAAATTGTTCGCGTATTTATTTTCACTGAACCACTCTCGTGCGTATAATTTTAGATTCTATTTACCCCCAGTTAGCGGTTTTATCATCATTTACTATTGCATTTTTGCCCACTTTCGTTTTTCCAACGTAATTTGTATTTTAGATGCTATTCGGTGATATTTTTGTAGCCCGCTCGAAAATCGCACATTATATATTGTGCTTAAGTATGATTAGCCCCGATCATAAGCACGCCATAGACAGTGAGGCACTCTGGGCCCAAATCAAGGCTCCTGAGTTCATGCCTGAGGATCCAGGATCGTTCCTCGTACTTGTGGAATCGCGATTCCTTGAAGCTCGCATCACCGGGCAACTGTCCCGATATCACAAGCTATTGTCCGCGATCCCGCGCAACATGCTTATTAACTTCCGGGATATTTACATGAATATCCCTGCGCACAACCCGTACGACGTGTTCAAAGTAGCACTTCTTCGTCGTTTGGCAGTTTCCGAAGAGAAACGCATCCAGCTCCTCCTGTCAGG